TTCGTGAGTACCTGAAACTAACATTTTAACAACTTTCACGAATAAATTCAACTTCAACGTTCCTATATTAATCTATAATACTATATTAATAATTCTTTTAAGTATCATAAGTCTCATAATCTCAACTACACTTGTCAATATCATATTCGTTGAAATTACGATCTTTGTACTCTCATCGATACAATAGAATAGGTATTACAATTCATTAGAACGATTTACACGTAATCCTCTTTGATTAGTGATGAATTCCCTTTACTCCAATTAATTCGCGGACCCCATGATACTCCACGAGGAAATTAATTAGCAGGGTATCGTTTGAATTGAGAACCCCGAACGGAAGTCTAGATAATGCTAAACCACTGTTTTGCATTGCACATTGCATCAGAGAAAATTGTTGCACGATCAATGAATCGAAATAAGTTGAAATTAAGTTGTTTAAGTACTGTACAAATAACAAAGTAAATACCAAAAGTAATCAATTATAATGTAATCAAAAGATATTTTTAATCATATGAAAGTATAAAAATGTTTATTAGAAAACGATATTATACTATGCAATGTTATAGGACTTAATTAAAATATGCAAATTCATTATTAAATGTGCACGACTATAATGCAAGACTGACTTAGCATAGGAACTATAGTTATCCTGTTATCCGTATTGAATTAAAAATTTTATGTAGCGTCATAGTTAGGAAATAAAAATTTCCGAATGCATATCCGAAAAAAAAAACAATTAGTTCTCGTAGCCATCGTTGGGGTTTTATCAAAGACGATGCTGCAGCAATGGTTGCAGTAACATCGAAAAGCGAGGGAAAATACCAACGACTTAAATGGCGCGAGAAAAGAATCCGACAAGAACGTGGATAAACACAGCCTGGTATGTGTGTGCACCTTTTATCCCCAACGAGGGACGTTAAGGCATTCTCGATGGAGTGCAGAAACGCTCTTCAGGTACTCTTATGTGTATATTTGTGTTCCACGCTACGTGACCGCGTGTCTTCGTCGACCAGGCCATTCGCGACATTTCGCTTTTCTTTACTTTTTTCTTATCTTTGTTTCACAGCTTCTCAAAGAACGGCTTTATTCGATTTGTGTCTAAGTCGTCGCGACCAGGAACGTATATTTTAATTAGTGTTCAAATGGTATCACCACCAACGCTTAATAAAATCTGATTACCCCCATTCGTGGCCTAAGCTTTACAAGAGACGATGTAACACAAGAAATTACATTTAGTATACAAGAAATAAAAAATTTAGAATTGCGACCTTGAGTTTTACTTTGTTTACTAATGGAACGTTTAGCAAATAACGATATAAGTATCAAAATATAATGCGTATTAAGTGCAAGAATAAAAATCAATTTTAAAAGTATAGCCTTGTCATTCTTTCTAGTAAACCTGCTACTCAATTTATTATGCTAACCAACCAGCCTTAAGTAATGAATATGATGCATTATTGTTTCAGAGAAATGAGCAGTACCATAATTGTTAGGAGTTATAGTTTATTATTCATTACATTCATTGCATTCATATAATTCCGTATGCATAAGAGCATATAGGCAAGCTAATGGACCCGCGAATGGAATCGCCATCTAGCGGCGGGGTCCGAACTAAATTTTCACATCGCACGCATGTATATTATGTTTGTGTATGAACATGTATATTCACATTTTTTACTTTTTTCAATCGTACAATCAACTCCTTACATTCAAATTGTTAATCTTATTTAATTGTTCTTGTTGAAATAAATTATTTTGTTGATAAAGTTCGGTTTTATGTTCGTGTTTGTTATTCTTTTATGTGGAATCCCTACAAACAGTAAAAATGTGACGCCATCTCTCAGCGAACCCTCCAAGTTTGTCGTGAAATAGTTCCCAATTTGCGCCGCTAGATGGCGCTTTTCTTCGATATTTCTATTTATTTAAGAAACTAGGCATCAGACAATTATTAGTATACGAATCGATAATTATTAGTTAAAATATGGTAGTTAGAATGTAAAATTACATTTGAGTGTAGAGAATTGTAAAGAATTTATATTTTAAGTAATTTCATGTCGGTCGCGCCATCTAGCGCGAGGAGGTGGAAACTATTTCACGACAAACTTGGAGTGTTCACTGAGAGATGGCGCCACATTTTTCGATATTTCTATTTATTCAAAAAATGTAATATCAATTAATTATTAAAATACAAATCAACAATTAGATGTTGGCTTATGATACTCACGATGTAAAATTATATAAATATGCAGAAGAAAGTAAAGAAATGTGAATATACATGTACATACTGCATACATAATATACAAATATGTGTATGTGCAAATTTAGTTCGATCTCCGTCACTAGATGGCAATACCAATCGTGGGTCCATTAGCTTGCCTATATGCTCTTATGTATATGGAATAATAAATTATAACTGTTAACAATTATTTATTCACCGCCGTTGTATTTGGAAATATGTGATTGTAATGAATATAACGAATAACAAAGGATAATGAATAACAATTATAATGCTTCCCATTTCTCGAGGGTAAACAAATTTTTAATATGACAACAATTCTAGCTAATGCATCAAGAAAATGTCTACGATTACTTAGTCTTTTTAATATGACACTTTTTTCTTTTAAAACTTTATTTATAGATCGTGCGTAGCGAAATACAATACTATGAATATTTAATATGACATTCATTTGTTCACATTGGCTTCGGGTAATGCACATATGCGTCATTATATTAAAATGCACCGAGACAACCTATCGACAAATAAATAAACATAAATGGTGGAACTTTACTTCATAGTAATATAGTTTCATAATATACAAATGTTTCACGAATTAATTAGGTTTTGGGTTGAGTATTGCTGCACAGTGTACAGACAGATTTCCGATAATTATCTATAACGGAATTAAATGTTTGTTTACGGTTAATAAAATGACCATACAGTGTAAGAGTAAAATCTTTTAGGTCATCCTTGGGCTCTACAATCGCATGTGTTTCTCAGTAATTAGTGTTTTCCCCAGTTCGTATATTAACAATTTTATTCCTTATATTTTTTTAGATTCAAAAAATATTTTACACTTTTCCTCAAAATTCCTTTGCGAAAATTAATTAGAGAATGTCAGCAATAATGCTATTAAAAGAAAAATGCGAAATTGCCCTGTGCCCACGTGGTCCGACGCGAATGCGTCAGTAATAAACAGGAAAATTTGTCAAAAATTGGAATTGGACATTTACGATCGAACGAGTTGTATCTTCTATGACTCACAATTCATCGATTACCCTTATCTGATATTTAAACAACGATTCTTTAATTTTACAAATTTATAGTAACTTTTTGGAACATTCGTTCGGCAAATTAACATAATTGGTAACTGAGTATTAAATCACAATTAAACATATGATCAAATTATCAATTATTAGTTCATCGATAGTCGACAAATCGATTAACTCTAGTCACTTGACAAGAAATTTCTGCAGAAAAAGTTCCAAATAAAATTCGTTATCAAAATTGCAAACCTATCAACTACCTATTATTTACACGTTTAATTCATTTTTGGTCGCACTGTATACACACCAGAACATATTAGCGGAAGATTAAAAAGGAAAACCCGAAAACCATGAAGATAGGAAGAAAATATGTACACTATGTAATTAACTAACTACGGTATTAATTTAAGCTATACAAAGTAAGAGAATGTACAATTGTTACAAGTAAGAAACTCTCGCGTTATTTTTTACGACAGTCGCCTGCAAACTGTCTCCAAGTGTTGACAGCGTGCGCCAATCTTAACTTTAATATTTACATTTTCAGATTGCGCGAACATAGATACAATCACTGGACTCGTTCGTCCCCGAGGCTAGGAAGATTTTAAAAAGATTCATTATTCTAACTTTTATACAACGACGATGTTACATTATCGACCTAAATTTAAAACTTAAATACTTAATGGATTTATTGGCTTGGCTTGTTTCATTTTTGTAAGTCAAGCGTAACTGCTTGTATGTCCATTATGGTTCGCTCCTTTCTTTGCAGTTGTAAAGAGACTGTTTAAATTCTGTTAACGTGTAATTTAAATTTCGCATAAAATATTTTCAACGTTCCAATCTTAATCCTACTCCTATATGAAAAATTGAAACATGTGGTTACTAAAGAACGTTAATCAATTTGTAATTAATGAATGTATTTCCATTTTATCCTAATGAAAATACGATTATGACTTCGATTGAATTTACCACGTTTCCCAATTCTGGTAATCTTAATTTCTCTCATAAATGATTAAAATAAATAACTGTGCTAAAACGTACGTTTGCATTGCAATTTACAAAAAATTTGCATTTTTCAGTTCTGCAATCATTTGTTCGATGCAACATGCACGCAATTCCATTTTTAATTCTCTGTTGTTGCCGATGTCTCTCACAAAATGTTTAAATAAATAGCTACATCTACACACTGTCTATTTATCTACAACAAAAGACGATCTGGATAAGGACATTTCAATCTTGCATGCAGACAATACATGTATACATAGTCACCCTGCATACAGTAATCGAGAATTGCTAAGTATCTTTGTTTACATATCTGACGCTCTTTAACCCTCAATTGGTAGAATAAATTATTAATCGATTAAGTGATCATAATTACATCAATGCACCACGATACTTGCGATTGATATTTGCCATAATTATGGTCACGTACAGCCACATCTTCGGTAACATTCTATGGCAACAAATCGATATTTCGTATTAAGAATAATCAATCAAATAATTACGTGCCTCAGCTCTCTAAATTTTCATTAAACTTTATCGAAGAGTTTACAGTAGATTTAGTTCAGTCCAATTGCTTAAATTGTCTCTTTACGAATTTCACATCATTTCCTGATGTTGCCAATATTACTCGCGATTATTTTCTTTTATCTAAACGCTCTGCGATCTATATAATAAACCACTTGTACCATTCTCCCCTTGTACACTTATATTCTTCTTACAACTTCTTCTTACTCCCTATCCTCCCTTACTACTTGCAGCAAAGACTTCATCCCTTAAAGATACCTCAACTTAAAAATTAATTTCACCTACTCTGCTGAACTCCATCCAAAACGCCTCGATTATAGATACAATATACAAAGTTTCAAAGAGAGAAACAATTAAACAAATTTAACAGCTTAATTCATTTCAACTACATTCTACCAATTGAAGGTCCGAGCACGCGACTTTGAACGCTTAAAAAAAATGGCATGGCTTCAACATGCACAAGCCAAACCAGTTGGCAGTTGCATTTGAACATTTTTAAATCATGTCTAAGCCACTATGAACTTATTATCACTCAGCTTCGATAGCCTTCGATCTACCCCAAACATACACATCGCCTCAGTACCAACTGTAAAACGGTTGATGGGGTGCTGGTCTAGGGGGTTGTTGGAAACCTTGAGCGCCATAGTGGCTCGCAAAAGCTTGATGGGGGTGAGTGGGGTGCGCGTGAGGTTGTTGCAAGCTGGTAGGTGGACTAGGAAGTCCGACTCTTCCACCGCTGGTAATTGGAAGATTCCACGAGGGCGATGTGCTCCCTTGGCTACTCTGTTGTTGCTGTTGTTGCTGCTGCACCGGCGACACCGAGCTTATCGGTAGATCCGACGAGGTCAATTGGTCCGACGACTGGTTCGAATTGCCTGAATTCGGACCCATCATAGTCACCAACGAGTTGGGAGTCGGTGGAAGTTGGTGGCTGCTCGGCTGCTGGTAGCTTGACCCAGACGCAGGAGTCACGGGGGATCCCTGGTGGGTCATGTGGCTCATACTAGTCGACGATGTAGCTGGTAAAAGCGAGCTTGGGTAGGTAACCGACGGTGGCAGACCGTAACTCGGTGTAGAACCGACGGAAGAGGGTAGCCGGGCCGAATCTGGCGTCAGCTGATGAGACATCGTACTATGATGCGAAGCGTACAGCTCTGGAACTGTATAGAGAAATTTCAGTTGATTAAAAGGTTGAGGGACGGTAGGCTGAAGGAAGGTAAAGCGTTTGGGGATGCTTTGGATACACTGATAGAGGTAGCAGTGTTGGTGAAATGTCGAAACGCTTTTTCAGAAAGATATAGTTTGTATCTAGTGATGGGTATGAAGCTGGCTCAAGGAGGTTTTCAATTATGTTAAGCTCGAATGACTCGAAGAGTTTGGAGGATTTGATTTGCTTAAAAGTTTGCAAGTTGTTTTAAAACTAATCACTGCTTGTACATGGAACTTTGAAGATAAATAATATGAGAACTCAATATCGAATTTTGAAAACCTTGGACACTCGACAATGACAATTAACTCACTAGACGACATGAAAACACATCGCTATTTATACTTGGAAGATTCAAGTTGTACTAACAATGAGAACCCAAGCTCTAGAAGCCTCAAAATTCATCAATAAAAATTAACTCACCTTGACTGGACGAGAACGTGGTGTCTGGTAGGGACTGTCCGTGAGAATGGGGATGCGGATGACTCGGAGGAACCGTGGCGGCAGCATGAGGATGAGGTGCTCCTGGAGGATGAAGAACGTAAGAAGCCGTGGGATAGGCCACCGAGCTAACGTAACCACCAGAAGTGGTGGAAGACAGCTGCTTCCTCAGTCTTGCTCTTCTGTTACTGAACCAAACTTGAATCCTGGCTTCCGTTAATTTGGTCCTCTGCGCCAGTTCCTCTCTGGTGTAGATGTCTGGGTACTGGGTCCTCTCGAAGGCCCTCTCTAGCTCGTCCAGTTGGTGGGCAGTGAAGGTCGTTCTGCTTCTGCGTTGCTTCCTCTTCAGAGGAATTCCTGGCTCGCTCTCGCAGTCGGAACCGGAACTGGTCTTGCCTGGAGAAAGGAATTAACATCGAATGTTTATCAAAAATTTTCCTTTGATAACGAGGTACAATAATTCACATTTTCAAATGATCACTTTCATACTTTCATTCATTTCTTTTTCTTGTTGAAAGGACAAATCCTTCGTAGGCCAGATCCTTGTTATCGTAAAGAAATGTTAGACTAATAGGTAGATTTAATAATAATTCTTCACTGTACGATTTACAAATAAACTGTGCAAAATAAAGTTGACAAAATGGGAGAAATACGATTCGATATGTACTCCTTGAAGATCCTTTCTCGACTGATTCCCATTGAAACTCTCAACCGCGTCTTTCTCTTGAACTATTTACACTTACAGCACGCACTTTTACTTGTTCTTACAACTGGCAACCGATACCATAACATAAACATTTGTTCGATTTCATCCGCTCTCTTCCAAACATTCTCCGTTCACACTTTGTCATTTAAATACTAATTTCTCGTAGCTATATTCTAGTATGATGTATCCAGGAATCTGTACATTTGTTTGTAGTTATTAGCGTTGACTTTTCTTATTTTAATTTTCTGTCTACTTAGAAAGATGATTTTAGACCGCATAGAAGATGATTTTCTACATTAATATACAAGGTGGAAGAAAGAGTTAAGGAAAGAAAATGAATGGTTCAGAAAGTACTATATTTGTAGTAATATATAATCGGTGGAACAAGGACGGAGAGTCTTCTTTCGTCCTTCAATTCTTGTACGCAGTTTAAGTTAATTTACTGAAATTAAATCTAGAGTTAAACTTGACTATATATGTTAATATATATATATATGTTTGACTATGTATGTTACTATATATAAAAATGTACAAAGTCTCGTTTAAAAAAATTAATTTATTCTTCAGATCACCCACACCACCTACAAAAAAATTATTTACTCGTTTGTGTTCGAACACGTTTGTGTTAAAAATTCTATTCACTAAAAATAAATAGTTTTCTAGACAGAGTAATCAGCGCAGTGTCAATCAATTCTCAATAACGCAACAGTATTTATACAGCAATCATGATTTCGCAGGGCCAGATTCAAACGAGTAATACTTTGCTGCAACACTAACAATTAGATGCCTCTACTTCATGGCTGTTCATTTTTTCATAGTAACCGCGTCGTTAAACGATACAGCTCCTTAACGAGGCAGGAAAGAGCGATTCACAACGCTAAATTTCCTGCCTGTTTTGCGTTAACATTCCGCTGGTTATCAGGGCCGCGGAACACGTTGCGACGATACAACAGAAAGATAAAGAACGATGGGGTGCCAATACTAAGCGAACCAAATAACGGTGCCGTGTCTAACAGTTATTAATTCCTCAGGATCGATGGTGTCACATACCCAACCTCGTCTCTACGTGGGTGAACGCGGGTCCTGGTTTATGGTTTGTTTTGCCGTGCGAGAGTTCAAAAGGAACCGCTCCCTGGCTCGCTTTGTGGCGGTTATTTCACACTCGATTCGCAATCGATTCGTTTGCCACGCTCTTTTTCCTTTTCGTTTTTTTCGCGAATCACTCCCTCCGTATTGTTTTCGACGAGTATTGCAACGGGCTCGACCCTTTGGCCGATCATAAGTAAAGCGCGGATGTTTATGCAAATAATGTGGGATCAAGGGTTTTCAAATAATCGAGGTGTATAGGTGTGGCTTTTATGACAATTATTTCATTACGATCTTATGTCACAGTGAAAATTCGTTTGATTAAAAATCGATGTGTTTGCGACTGTTCGTTTAAGGAACTCTATTTTTTACAAAGATGGACTTACTACTTTCGTAATAAACGACTGCGAGTCGTTACTTTCGAATAAACGAATAAACTGCACTATTATATTTGGCTGTGACTGCTCATCTGTTTCATTCGATACCGAGATAGTTGACTAGAATGCTGCACCTAGCTCTGAATGTATAAGATCATCTATTTCATTCAGCTCTGAAAGAGTTGACTAGAATGCTGCACCTAGCTCTGAATGTATAAGCTCATCTATTTCATTCAGCTCTGAAAGAGTTGACTAGAATTCTGCACCTAGCTCTGGATGTATAAGCTCATTTGCATCATGCAATACTGAAAGAGTTGACTAGGATATTGGACCTAACTTAGAATTTATAAGCTCATTTATTTCATTCAATACTGAAAGAGTTGACTAGAATGTTGCACCTAGCTCCGAATGTATAAGTGCGTCTGTTTCATTTGATCTTGAAAGACTTAACTAGAATGTTGCACCCAGCTCAGAATGAACAAGCTGAAATGTTTCATTCAGCTTTGATAGAGCTGGCCATACCGCTGCATCTATAAAAGAAGCATTTAAATTGTTGTGTCTAGATCCAAAAGAGATCCTCGATCGTTTTACCCAGTTCTGAAAGAGCTAGCTTCCACATTCGATATTTTTCTCGCCTCACACTTACGCAGACAAGCCCTGCCACTTCGACAGAAGTAAATCAGAAATTCCTGGACCTGCCACTGTTTCTATTATTTTCCCCCTCGTGGCAGAGCGTTTCACCTCGTACGCGAACGGAATTCGAAAGGGGGTGAAACGCAAAAAGGCCAGACCGCTCACATTTTTAGATTACGGTAGATTCATCATCGCGACCGCGAACGCAGAAACGGACGACACACGCGTATAAAAAAGAAACAAGAAAAGAATGAAGCCTGTTTCTTCCGCCGATGGCCTCGGTTGCGTCTTGAAATTGTCGAGTGGCTTTACTCGGGCCGCGACTAATCGGCCGACGACGCCTGACGCCGGGACGCCCCGCGTTGATGCCCATTCGACACGGACTCTATTCCCGGACGGACCGTTTCTTCCTTTTCCTTTCTTGCATCGGCTCGTTTCAGACGTTCCGCAAGCTTCCGCGCTTCCCAACACCCTTTCCCCCTTCCTTCTCTTAATTACTATTATTGTTATTATCGCGGCGAATAAATCCTTTGGTCTCCCGGAACGCTTTGGTTGCGGAGAGAATTTACATGGATATTTTGGATTTACGAACGGATCTGGCAAGTTTCTGATTTTCTCGCAGGAAAAGTACGCGATATGAACTATTGAAATTCGGTTTATTTATTTGTACATATACGCGTAAGATCCTCTAAAATTTTCAACTGTCCAGGTCAATTTGTTTATGAATAACGTGAAATATTCTACGTCACGTCAAGCAGAACGGATTAAGTATGTTTATGTGGTTGGGTTCGCCCTGATGGTCAGGACAAATGGAAACTGTTTTTTTTTTTTTTTTTTTTTTATTCATTATGAATATGGTTGCAGCCTGAATTAGGGGAAAAGGGATTGAATGAAAATTGACAGAAGCGTTTTTTGTAGGTACGTAAAATTTGAATTCTATTCAAAATGAGAAAAACGAGAGAAAAATGCATTCGAAGATTCGTATTCAATCAGACTATACGAGTGACTTTTTGATAGAAATATTTAAAAAATCCTAAGGAACAAGAATATTAACACACGGAAATGTCTACATTTTAAAAAAAGAATACCTTCTATTTTTTCTGTAGTTTGTATTGCACTCCGACAGCTTCATTAACTCTGACAGGTAGATATTATGACAGTCCCACGTTTTTATAATTACTATAATTGTCACTATCGTAGCGAAGAAATCCTTTGGTGTACGGAATGCTTCAAGAATAGCCAAAGAAATTTTTCGTGAAGTATTTCAGTCTTGAGAAGGTATAAAAAAAAATTCTAACTGGATCTACAAATTTCTAAAGTTGAAATTTCAAATAGTTACGATACATAGATCATCGACACTTTAATGTTTCCAGGTGGAAACGATTATAAATCGTTTCTTTAGATGAAGTCATGTAAAGTTTTTTGGGTTTAAATTGTAGCAGAAGACGAACTGGGCAAAATTATAAAATCACGACAGAAATTGCATCTTTCACGGAACTAAGCGGTTCCTACCGGCTAGTAATTACCAAACTTTCGAACCCGATATTACCCCCGGGGGGTTGAAAGATTACCAGGTTGTCCGTTCTACGCGATTCTGCAACGTAGCTTGGAAGATATCGACGAAGACACGTCACACATGGTTTTTCTATTGAAGAAGAAACGAAGCAAGATGTCTTCTAAACTCTAATCAGATTTCACCTTGGTTAATGAAATCCTTCAATATTATTAATTAATTATAAATTGTTCATTTATAAACAATTGGTACATTTATGCCAAATTTGCAAAGAATTTGAAATTTGATATGGAATTCGTACGGCAATGAGATACTTGTTAATTTAAAAATTTTCGGAAATTTTTAATTCCTTAAATGTTGATTAAAATTCTAAAGCAATCGAGCAATTGGCAATTGCAACAGCAAAGAATTAATTGTTCCACGAAATCTGAGATCCACTTCTCAAATTTTTACTCTCGATTTAAAGTCTCTTCGGTTACAATTGAAATTTTTCTTTTCAATTAAATTTGAGATTAAGTGGAATCTATACCCGCCTTTTAACTTCAATTGCAATTGAGATTCATGTTTCGAATTGCAAGTGAAGTTAACCGCAAATAATTTGTCAACCACGTGATATATTGATTTGAAATATGAATGATCAATGTTGGAAAACTGGTTTAGATCAGGGTTCGATACAATTTTTTAACCTTGGCGAAGTTCATTTCTCTCAGTGAATTAAGACTGTAAGGTAAGAACTGTATTTCCTAGGTAGTTTGACAAATGCAAGCGTCCAATGGTCGGCGTCTTTTTAGGTTTCTCACCCCCTCCGTTGTTTTTGCCCTCCTCTTTTTGTTTGGAAAGGGCGGCCGACCATCGGGCTGATCGACTTACAAATCTACTGAGCAGTTTCGTCTCGTTTTGCTCTTTCATGTTTGCCGACGTGAATTTTCAAATGATCCCACGGCAGACCACCGCCGTCGGTACTAGTTTCATTCGTCTTCCCGTTGGGGGTGGAAACAACCCTCGATCCGTGAGAAACCTTTGATGTTTATCGCTACAGTTTACGAGTTCCTATATTTCTTCAAACAAATTCTGAACTTAAATAAACAGAAAGAAAGTGTAACCCTTTTCTAATAGAAATTCGAAATTACCGAATTAAATCTGGCATCGAAAATTTAAACAAAATATCATTTTCAATGTTCGTCTATTTGTGAATCTGTTCTAGCATTCATACATTCAAATCATCATAAATACGGTGACAGTATGACTATCATCATTTTATTTTAAAAATTTTAAAAAGAAATTTTTTTTATTAATTTTTTCTTATTTTCATTAATTTTCCCTGAAAGAAATGAAACAGGATCGTTCACCCAAAGGGTTTCTAGATCCTTTCGTGGATCCCTTCGCAGTAGACTCGCGCGCACCCGACTCGATACCACCTATCGAACTTTCGGTCGTGTGCACGTGGGCATGTACCGGGCGGCGAGAAAATTACAGACCCGGCGCCGGCTACCGACTGTTCGCCGCGGCGAACGAGAACCGGTAATTTCCAAGATCGAGAAACGCGAGGCTGATTAATGCGCGAGCATTTAATTTATTCATTCACCGTTTTTCAGATCCTGCTCGGATCCTTGGTGGTCTGACGGCCAGCTGATAGGGCGTGCCATGTATAGGCGATCATACGCGCCAATTTCGCTCGCTACTAAGTCCGACTTCGCAATTTTCCTATTCCCAATCGGTTTGCGGCTGTTACGTAGCGTTCCAGCTACTACCAGTACGTTCCACTACTTCTACTCGGTCGTGTTTGCGCTAACGGAATGGGAGTGGGTCATTTTGAATACGACTGCGGAAGTATTGAGTTGATTCATGCGATCGTGCAATTTTAATTTTGTTGCGCGAGGACACCGTTGAGAGACGAATTTTTAAGAGTCGCGGTACAGGACAAAGAGATACGTTTTTGTTCGTATTTCAGATATAGTGACACAAAAAAGTTATACAGTAAACTCCAAAAAGTTTCAGTGCACCGTGAAAATTTTCTTGTGGTCGTGCTGAATGAAATTCCGTTGCTAAACAGAATGTGGAAAACATGCATTATGTTTGCTTACGTTGTGCTACGTTGAAAAATTTAAAATTATCGGAATGTAAAATAGAATTAACGAGGAACTACTGTAACGATTATAATTTTGACAATTTTGAAATATATTAATGTAATTTGGTGAAATATTTCAAAAATATTAAGTAACAAAATGAATAATTTGAAACAGTTGTATCGTATTTTCATTTCGATTAAAATTTGCCAAGGTCTTCCACCGGGAGAAGAGAATATAAAAAGTGTATTATAGCGTGCAACGTTGCAAGCGTTCAGGCAGCATTCTATCGATCCTCGAGATCTCGCGAAACGCGCCAATTTTAAACTAAATCCTTCCCTCTCGGATCTTTCTTTCGCGGAGTTGTTTAAAAGATCAAAAAAATATGGGTGGAAACGGTGTTTCGCGGCAACTAAGAAACGCGTTTTCGAATCCTCCAGGATGATTAGAGTGCCGCGAATAAAAGTTTCAGCTTCGAATGGCGAATTAACTGCGAAGTACACCGCTAAGCTCCGCTTTTGATCTCCCTCGTAATTTACAGCGTTATAATTTTCCCTGGGATGGAGTATTACGTTGCACAGGATGCTGTTTTACTCTAATGGTTGCTTTTTATCGCGGACATTACGTTTTGCTGGTCAATTTTTCGCGTGAGCTGCCACGACGCACCGTGAAAATTTTTACAAAGCGACACGCGAGACGGGGTTGCGTGATATCTGACGCACTATGACGATTTTACGATTCGAAAACATTTATGGAGAGTGCATTTTGAGGAAGTGCCTAATTCGGTTTCGGACAAAAAATAGTTCCTGTTATATTTGGGTTTGGAATAGGATCGATTTCTTGATTATTAATACGTATGATTTGTTCTGTTTTCGTTATCTAGATTCAACTTTGGAGTATCGACTAATGTCTTCAAATATTTCTACCAAATTATATTAATTTCTAGATTAGAAATTAGTTTGGAACTAGTTCAAAAACTAGCACTAGAAATACGTGAACTACTTCAACATATTACATATTTTTATAACGTGAAGTTTCATGTCAAGAATGAACACGATTTTTTGCATAATTTTTTTTTTGCAGTGCAATACTAGTACTACAAATACGTGAATCAATGTCATTGTACATTGTCTATGATATCACTGTAATTACTAAAATGGACAAATACGTTTTTAGTTTTTCATTCGATTACATTTATTGAACTTGAAACGCGAAACAAATATTTTTAATAAATAACTCTCATATTCTACATCAGTTCGCAAAGAGGAGTTGCCTTTCCCGAATAGTTACAATTTTATCACCGTGAACAATCCCAATTAATTACAAAGTTCACTGAAACATAGGTGTTTTAATATCAGCGTAATTTCAGTGATTTACATAAATACGGGGAGCGAAATTCTGTAGCGAGAAAATTAGGTGTTGCAATAAAAAAAGATGGCCGATTCAATTTGGAGGGAACTCGGGTAACGAGAGCCTCCAGGACGAAATTACCAGCCGGTGTGTTGTTATAATCTAATTTTGCACGGTGGCGCTGTCACGAGAATATTTGCGAGAGGCTGATTCACTGATTCAGGTGGATCATCAATCTTGGTCAGAGCGGTCGAGAAAAGACACGAGACCGGCATGCTCTCGATCGAAAATGTTTTTGTCAAGATGTTCACGAAGCATCCCGGTATTTTAATACGCAATTTTACAGGTGAATTGAAACTAGAATGTTGAAAAAAAAAAATAATTCTTCCATCTCAATATATTACAAGCACTCGATTAAATAAAATACTGTTAACTTCTCTTGGAATAATACAATTTATTAGTGGTTTTCTAAAAGGGTATTTAGGACATTGTTTTTTAATAATAAACTACGCTTAGGTATCTAATTTAAGATAATTTTTGGTGTTTCGGTTCCTAATGTACAGTGGTTCTTTTCCAATGTTCACTTTAGTAACATTATGGGACCATGTTTTGTTTGCTTATATGTTCAGTAAAACACAATGAAATTTGGAAGACAACTCGTGATATATTTCTTTATAAACAATTTTTTAAAATACCACTCATTATAGGCCCTTTAGTGTTATGTTTCCTTGTTTCTATCAAAATAAACAATAATTCTTGAAAATCATATTTACCATCGCCAAGCTTCGTCTCGTCCTCTGGATCTCGTCCTCTGAGAAGCCTGGAAATCGCAGAGACGCTCGGAGCGCTGGTCCTGTCGCAAATTCCTTCCTTGATAAGTCTGTCACGAATTTCCCAGGAGAAAATACCCGGATTGTCGCGCTTGTATTCCTCGATCCTGGCCTCGACTTCCGGTGTGGCTACTCTCGGCTTGCTGCCGCCGATCACCCCTGGTCTGATACTTCCTGTTTCCTGGTATCGATTTAGAATCTTCGATACGCAACCGTGCGACACCCTCAATTGCCTGTTCGAGTGGAGAAATAATAATCGAGTATAATTCTTTTCAATCGTCAGAACTGAAATTGTAGAACGAGGTACGAGAAACTTTGCAGACTCGTTATAAAATACACTCATTGACGTCTTCGTTGCAATGGCACATGAATTTTAATATTATCTCTCCATGCAAATTAATTAATTTTTTAGAAATGTACGTTTCTTGAATTGTTACGTGTTTCTAGAGAAAATTAATGAAATTTGTCTGAAGATAGTTTGATAATAACGTGATATAGGTTATAAATGAGTATTTATAATAATGTCCTTGTCTTGAAACGTAGCATGATTTATAAAAAAAAAATTATGTTAATTCTTTACGTAAAACTTCAAGTTATAATAATATGCAATGTGTCGATATACGTTTAGATGATATTTTACACTAAGAGTACTTACTTAAGTTACTTACAATATTAAACTAAAACATTTTATTTACTCTGAAAAGATTAAAGGCTTAAAAAAGAAAAGGACACTATGTTAACTAAACATTTTTATTCGCATTCAGAAGAGAATACATTTCTTAAGCTTCCAGATTATATATTTTCATATTTCAAAGATAGAACCCCTAAGTAAAATATATTCCTTGGATCTTTTAAATACAAGAATATATGTACTGCTCTGAAGATTCAATAAATATACTGTCTTTCGAATAAAATAAAATTCACGCGTTAAAAAGGCAACTTAATCTCATTGTATTACTTTCTTCTTCATTTTATCGAGTTACTGCAGGCCTGAGAAGTTTCGCATCATCTCTCAACAACGCCCCGTGACTCGCGAATAACGTGTTCAGATATTGCTTGTTTACCTTGAAATAACGCAGGGCCTGACGCCCGCAGCAGCCATCTCGACGATTTTCAGACGTATGTGATTCGGTAGCGGGCGACCGTTTATAAAAACGCCACCGAGCTGATTGACGCGTCCCTGACCTGGAATCGATCCCAAATCTGCGACAGAAATTTGTCGAAATCAAAACAGGATACACTTAGCGGTCCATTCAAATTTTTCAAGGCAGATAAAAGTTTCAAATTTTAGATTTATTAAATAAAGGAATATCCTGGGGAAGGCGAGTCTTCCTTCTCGATACGAAGAAATGAAAACTAGCGTCACGTGTAAAATTTTGAAACGTACGACTTGCTGATAACGGAGAAAGGGTTTCTCGAAATTAAGGAAGAGATCACTTGCACCTTATTTCATATATGTATATGAGTTGGTAATGAGCTTTTTTAAAAAGAGGTTTAGAATTTTGTTTTTCAATAACAAGGTACTGCAGGTGTACGACACTTACGCGACGTGATCTATTAATGTGTTCTAGATTAATTTTGATTACGTGTACTTTCGTTTAAAATAAATTCCATACCACTTGTGTTTTATAATATGTATTACAAAATCCTGAAGCCCCTTTTGAAACATTTTTATAATACCAGAGATCTGCTGCATTAGTGTATGAAACCCATTATTTAAAAATGAGATCGATATTATCCTTACATATTTAAAAGAGCGGAGTGCTTTTTCCAAGATACTCATTTCTTTTCACTCTAAGAGCAATCTTACAGCTAACAATTATTCGATCAAATTCATTAATCGCATCTAAAAGAAAAAACATTTCTGTTCTTTACGAAAAAGCTATCGTTGCTCGAAATAAACAAATATTGACTACAAAAGGAAATCGTGAAAATTGCCTGGAGAGTTCCAGAGAAAAGAAAATAGCGAAAGAAAGTCTCTTTTCCACTGGATCCTTTACTTTGAACGATTTGGAAAGTATCCGGCGTTTTTCCAACGGAACGCAGGATCCATCGATCGAAGGCCGATTGCGAAACCGTGGATCCTTTTGTTTCCGCGCGCGAACGAGGCGAGAGAACAGTTACTCGGTGGAGAATAAAGAGAAACCTGGATTTATCGTTCCACCTTCGCCTCGACGTGTTTCCTGCTTGTCGAGGGGTAACAGGACGAAAGGGGGAAAGAGGAAGAAAGAGAGGTGGCCGAGATGGAGAGAGTTATTGGCTGGTGCACGGTCCCATAAATAACGATAAGACCAATGAATCTAAGGGTTTACGACGTACATAACACTGATAGCGTATAATTTGCTTGGCCGACTGAGATCTACGTCACGCGATCGCGATCCGAGCGAACTATTTACCTTGCCATATTCTATTTTTCTCCTTTTAATTGAAATCTCTGCACGCTCTTCGTTGTTTAGGGCTGCGATTATAGCGCCAAACCAATCGCGCTAACTAAAAGCAGTTTAACGAATGATAGCGATGCCAGTGATAAAATCTCCACTTCAAAGAAATGATGATTTTTTTTTTTTTATAATTATGAACCATAAAGGATATGGTAGAATCGTTGGAAATGTTATCATTTCTGAAGCTCTATAACAGCGTGACAGTAGAATGAAACAGTTTCTTTATCAAGAAATGTATTGTCCTATTTGTTATTACAGTGTCAAGGGGCATTGAAATCGGTGACATTTTGGTAAAATAACGTGTGCTCTTGCTTGTCTGTTGTAGATTTGTTTTTTATATTTAGTCAGCACAAACGTCGAACGCTTTCGATCCAAAACCAAAAAGTACAACATTATGAGCTACAGAAATACAATTTGCCTTATGAATAACTATTATGAGCTACCAAAATAAATGTTTCTCATTAGCAATTAATATTAACGACAAAAATAAAATTTCCCTGATATTTATTGATAACTAAAAGACTCACTAAGGCGTTATTTCTAACGAAAACGTTTAACAATCCATTCGTTTAATCGTGTGCTTTGCAATGACGTTTCTTTAATCACGCACTTTTTTTTTTAAACATTTTCTTTATACTTCACGATTACTATCCATAACTGTAACGACAAACAAGTTGTTGTCAATGATATCATATGTACAAATTTTATGAATAACTGTTATTGCATGTGCCTGTATTTTACATCTTGGAAAGTTCTTGGCATCTTCTCGATGTCTGCTTTCGGATCTTTGACATCGTTCCTTTGCGATTGGACTTCGGGTTCTTAATTTCCTGATCCACGTTTTCATTTTCCAATTTCGATCCACCGAGTTTCCTGTTCTCGTGGACCGGTTCCGCTGTCGGACCTAGATCTACTTTCGAGCGGCAACAAGTTTTTCATTTCCCCCGAAAGCCTTGAAACTAACAATAAGCTAAAAACATGGCTGGTAATTCGAACGTAACAGAGCCGTTCTTTTTTTGGCTGCGTGCAGTGGCAGACTCCCAACTAGTCGTGACAAATATTACGGTAACTGGATCGATCGCGATCGAGGCGAGCAAAAAGCATCCGACGCGAGTGTGAATCATTTTTGTGACACAGTAGCGAGAGGAAAAACGGTGTCTCCCGACGACAATGAAGACGGACTGATCGCCGGTGCGTAACGTTATGAAAACGAGAATATGGAATTATTGCTTGTCGCTCGATGCTGCACGATCTATGCGATCCATTCACTTCGCAGTCATTAATCACGTGAAATCGGAATTTAAAAAATATTCACACGGTCGCTCGCCATCGAGCAATTACATTTTTTTTTCGCGATCTTTGCAACCATGTTGCGGTTTTTGTCGCGCGATCGATTTTTATTGAATACTAAAAGCAAGGCAATGTGCTCAATCTTTTTTGTCGAGAGGTTTGTGGAATAATGAACTGGATGAATGATAGTTTGTTTTTGGTGCGATCCAGAAATATACTTTTAGAGGATACGATCTAACAATAGAATTCAAATTGTAATGTTTTTCGTGGAAAACTTGTATGACTTGAACGTCGACATAGGAATGAATGACAACCTTCTATTGTGTTTTTATTATGAAAAATGTTGTGTAAAATTATTAAAATTTCTAGTCAATGCATACACGCTCCTCTTTCATTGGTCTTGTTAAAAAAGAAATATTTCCCGTCTCTTATCCCGAATAAAAGCAGTCGTTGATATAGTTGAAGCATCGATAAGAAATGGTTGAAACTACTACTAATCGATACAAAAATTCGCCACCTTCATCGTGACTTACAACGAAAGAAATGTTTCCCTCCTTTCACCGACTCTATCGCTTGAGCTCTTCGAGAGGAAGCCCTGCCTAATTCGGATCGTCTTCGTTGAACATTGCAACTGATTAGAAACTGACCGGTTTCCCACGCCGATTCGCGAGAAATCGTGTCACCTTGACGCCGGAAGAAGAACGAACCAAAGAACAAACCAAACGGCGAATCGTTCACGTAACCAAAATGGAGATGGAAAAAAGTAGGCGAGAGCGGCGGATAAAAATAAGTAAGCGAAACGGTGATTTCAATTGCGCAGAATCCGTGGTCGGTTGCATAACCGGAGTTATGCACCGGCTCGAGTGCACCCGACGGCCCGGAAAACGCAGAACCGCGATAATGCTCACAGCCTTTTTTTTTCAAACCATCTGGACTCGAGAGAACTGTTGCTAATTGTTTCGCTAATTCGTTTGATTTTTCTCTCGAGGCGAGTTTCAAGATTGCTTTCACATTTATATTGTGATATTTAAGAGAGACTCTGCATATTGTTAAAGCTTGAAATGCTGCAGATAGTCCTGTTTGCTTTGTAAATGGTAAATAATATAAACGGTATCGAAGATTAATGTTTCAAGGAGTATTCAATTAATTCTGTTTCATTCTTAAATATATATATGTATATATGTATATATGATTTAATTACTATATACTTATTCATTCAGATTAAATTAAATTTTCTTTATTATAATGATATTATCCATCTTTCTGTACCAATTATTTTAATTGAAAAATATCAAGATGTCTGGATAATGGGAGTTTTGAATTTTAAACTGCTCGATTTTCCAAATTGTTATAACCTTTCACTAACACAATCCCTGAAGGGATTAAGTAACGAACGATTCTAATTGCCATTGTAATTCTAATTGCCCTGATTGATTACCATCGTAAATTCATTCGGTAGTTCTAACACCGTTCACCGCGAGATTTCAAATTTAATTAACGTTAAAATCGTAGGAAACTGTTAATCGCCAGTGCCACGGGGAACAATTAAAATAAAAATTTGAAAGTCTCCGCTCGAGCCACCTCTGCAATTAACGTTCGATAAAGGAAAGCAACCTCTGATAAATTAATCGAGATTTTTCGCTACCTGTTCTCACGCCGCGGCGTCTCAACATTCAGTAAAATAATTAACTATAGCCGATGCAAAGTGCAACGCGCGTAATTGCGAGAAACGCGCCCGCAACATTATCAATCTTCCAGGAATATTTAATTACACGTTCCCCGAGCGTTAAACGCTTCCATTTTGCATACAAGTCCTACAAACGATTCGTTGACTAATTGTCGGTTGCAATTAAACTTGCGCGCCCGACGCGTAATGTCGGACAGTGACAAATGATGATCCATGAAGCGCGTAAGCAACAAATGGAAAATGCAAAATTCCCAGACGGAATCCCCATTTGCATTAGAATTGCGTCTAACATCGTTTCCAATCTGTCTAATTATCGTACCTTATTGCCTCGGGTATAATTACTCCGACGCAGTGTTTACCATTATTCGCTGTGTTAATTATTTCGCTTAGCCGATTTCATTCTTGGAATTTTCGACGATTTTTAGATGCGTTGTTTATAGAGATACAAGAACCCGAGTACACAAACAAGATATTAGCTATGGCTGTCGTAAAGGCTAATTGATTGATTAATTTATTCGTTATTTTTTCTGATACCGTTTATGAGAAACACACGTCAGTGTGAAAAATATGTATGGTCCAGCAGAATCTCAATTATTCAGATAATCGAGTGATTAAGTTTATATCGATAGAACTGAATAGAATTAAACAGAAATACAAATTATTTAAATAGAAATTGTACAATTCTCTTCGGTCTTTGATTACATTTACTTGAACCAAAACATTTTGGAACAATAATGATCGAATAAGAAACTTAGCAGTAGAAGGGTTGAAATTAAGAGTTCATTCGTTCCTGGATAGATCTACTCCTGAATATTATTCGCAATATTAATAAAATGTTCTGCTAACTATTTTTTAACCGTCTGTTTAATTTTTCTTAAGACCTTCGCGATCAGGTAGGCACGGAAAATTGTCTCGAAGGAAAAGTATCGAAATTTATGGGGCAATAAAAGAAAGGTCGCGGAGTCTTTTTTCGAAACTTTCGAGTAGAACCGCTCATGAGGTCGGCATCGAAAATTTTCCGGTAACGAAAGTCAACAATACCGAACAAATTCAACGATTACACGGTCGATTTTCGATTTCTGGATAATCAACGAGAAAAAGCCTCGACAGTGAATTCCAAATAATTCTCTAATCAGCTGGTTGACCACTGATTTAAATTAGATGATTCTAACTGGCGACAATTTCAACAATACCTATCTTTCTTGTTTTTCGTTAATGCCACGAAAATAAATAAATTTATAATAATAACTCTTATGATCATTAGCTTAGGAGTAGCTTTAATCTACAGCAGTCTAAATGGGTATTAATATCTGCCGATTAAATGTTGATAAAATAATGTATAAAGTAATGTAATAAATCCTCTCAAGTAATGTTTCAAGCAAGTAAGTAGAAAATTTTATGAACTGGAAATTTTAAAAAGGCTAAGAATCCACGTAACACTAGCAGTATAAGTGATCTCAAATATATAAATTTTTGGACAATTAACTCTTATGGATAAGATCAAATAATCTAATAGATCTATTACCTGTCGATGTTATTTTTTATTTTACATCGCATGCAGTTAGTAGAAACGTGCTTATCGGGTACATATATTCTTAAGTGGCACGATATAGCGTAGCACAACATGTTAAATGCAAAAATGTTGTGCAGGATATTTGCAGTCGATCCGAACAAGTTTTTTCTTGCCAAAAAAAAAGTCTGAAAGCGAGGAGCACCTCTTCGAGTTTTCTCAAAGCGACGGCAAAAGCTCCACGAGAAATGTACCTCATTATTTATGGCGGTCATTAATGGCAATGTTCCGGTCTTCCCGGGTCAGGTAAGGTTATATATCAATGCTCCGTTTAAAATCTTAAGGATATCCTGTCGGTAGAGTCTGGAAGATCTTCTTGCCACCGGGCCGGTTGTAAAATTTTGATTTCCGAATGGTCCCCGACGGGATATTGCACAATACTAATGCGATCTGCCATTTCCTCAGCTTCTTGACGTTCCTATCCCTTTCAATTTTCTCAAATTTTTTTGTGACATTTCTTTTACTAATTTTTATTGCTTGCAAGCTCTCGTAGGATCATTACGAGTTTCTTAATATGTCAATTGAAACTTCTTTCAAGGAAGCAATTTTACTAGGTTCTCCACTGGTGTTAATTTAAAAAAAGACACTTTAAAATTCAAATGGAAGAATATTACTGGAACTAGTTGAATTTGTTTCTAATATAGAAGCTTTAATTTCGTCAAAAATTGATTTTGCTTTACTAATTATTTAACAAGTATTAGTACTAACTTCTAACTACCTCGCAGTGCAAGAGGCCATTTTCTAGGTTCTCCACTGGTGTTTTAAAAAAGGACACTTTGACATTCAAATGGAAGAATATTACTGGACCCAGTTGAATTTGTTTCTAATACACCAGCTTTAATTCGTCATAAATTTATTTAGCTTCACTAAAATTATTTAACAGGTATTAATACTAACTTCTAACTACCTCGCAGTGCAAGAGGCCATTTTCTAGATTCTCCACTGATGTTTTAAAAAAGAACACTTTGTAATTCGGATACATAACTAAACCAAGCACAACTCGTCTCTACATATTTATACAGAAACCTAAATGCTCCCAATTTCAGCTATCTCCAACCTAGTTGCAAGTAACTCTAAATTACCTAGTTACTAAAACCAAGCCTGGCATCTCTAAGAAGTGCATTCTTACAATCTAACGCTACCTAAGAGCCCATCGCAGCCTCTCACCTTGAAAGGGGTATCCAGTGAAGCAGGGTCGCATCATCGAAAAGTTAGTGGTCACCGTCATCTCAACGCGTTCGCGCCCACCGGTGTTTCGCTCACAAAACGCCACAAACGCTGTCACAGCACTGTTTCTACGTTCCGAGAAGCGTTCACCAAACCGAGTAACCACCAGTCCGAGGGAGACACTGATCGAAGCGGGCGCTCGTTGGAGAACCGAACAGAGATACCGTATCGGAGAGTGAACACGCTATATCCAATGACGACCGATCTCTGCTCTCGGGACCACGCTGTCGAGGAACTGTCACTCCGAATCTCCAGGATTAGTCACTTGTTCGCGCCACGCTGTTCAGGATCTGTCTGCACGCGATCCAATCCCGTTCGAGTCTCCTGTCCTTGGACCGCGGCCAGACACCTGTGCCCTCGAAACCGTAGCCTTTCGACAACTTGTCTGAACCTCGACAGATCGGCTTCCTGATCCTGACTAGCCTCCACTACCACTCGGCACCGAGGTAACTAACGCTTGGCCACTCCCATCGCGCGGTTCCTGAGACCAACCGATGGTGGGGCAACTGGCAGCGACGGTAGCTGAAGCTGGCCTGTGTTAGCCAGCGAGGATAACGTGCTCCAGCCGCGTTTCTACCTGTTTCCCCGGCATCGTGCGACCAATCCATGCTCCGAAACGTTCTCCATGTCGCGCCCCTAACGGCACGCCCAGCCGCGCATGAGTGGTAGCCTGCGGGGGAGGCCTGTGGAGACCATGCTGTCGTTGGGACGAATGCTCCTTTTTCTGGGTGCGCTTTGGTGGAAGGGGGAACCGACGAGATGCCACGTTTTTGGCGCGCTATTTTGCGAGCAGGGCTTCTTGGGAGGGTAACGTTGGTACTGATTTTTTTTAGTTGGGGAGAGTTTGGATGCTTCAGGATTCGAAGGGGATTTATTGGGATTTTAGATGGTATTTTGGGTTTTTAGACTTCGGAGATTTTATAAAGTGATGGTCTGTGAAGAGTTGGTTTTATTAAAAGATTTGACGAGGTACTACGTTTTTGGAGCACTGTATGTTTTGGGAATTAATGGGTTTTGAAGGTATTTTGTGATTCATTCGTTGATGATTTATTAACTAATTATTCGCAGATTTTTAAAAAAATTTTTGAATGTTAAGATTCTATTGGTCAGATTTCACTAGGAATTCTATTTTTGGAGTACTGTACACTCTGGGAATTAATGGGTTCTGAGGGTGTTTTGTGATTCATTCCTTGATGATTTATTAGTTCATTATTCATACATTTTGAATATTTAAAACATGAACATTAGGAATCTATTGGTCTAATTTTACGAGGTACTCCGTTTTTGGAGCACTGTTCGCCCTGAAAATTAATGGCTTTGAGTGTGTTTTTTGTGATTCATTCCTTGATGATTTATTAGTTCATTATTCATACATTTTGAATATTTAGATCATGAACATTAGGAATCTATTAGTCTGAATTTATTACCAATTTCTTACATCTATAGCTTCGCAAAACTTCGAAAGCAATATTTTACTAATCGTATTGAGTTTGACGACAAGTTTAACCTACCTACTCATTATTCAAGAGCATTTTATTGTCCATTTATCGATGATTCGTTAAGTAATAGTTTGATTGACGTGATATTAAGGTCTCGCAAATGTGTACAATCCTAATGATGTTTCTGTATTTAAAATGCGATTTTTTAGATTAATAGTATTTCGAGCTTTCACTCCTTGAATACTTTCCATAATAACGATCTGCCTAGATTTGTTGATTTTACTAAGCCAATCTTACAGGTTTGACGTCAGCACGCTTTTTTTTTGGACCACTACTTATTCAAATGCAGAATGATTTTGAAGAGTGCTTTGTGATCTATGTTAACGCAATTGTCCAACCTTAATGGTCCGATAAATGAAAAATGATTTTTTTTTTATTCATCATAAATCATGTAGTTATTAATCTAATTTGGTAGAAATATTTTAAAGAACTCGAGCAACAAGAATATATAAATAAATATACTTTTTTACCTAAAATAAAAGATCATCCTCTTAAATAGAGTAGAATCTCCAGTTTTCCTTAACGTTCCCAATAATTTGACCAAACTGAATTAATTTAAATTTCGGTTTGAATGCGTCGCGAGAGTTGGGCAACGCAGTGGAGCGTCAACGAGTTAAGCAAGCGAGGAGCACGAATAACGCGTAAAACCGTCCCCCCGTAACCGTGGGTGTCGGTCATTAACGCATGATCACAGACCATCGACTTCCAACTTTCGCTTCTTAGGCCCACAATCCTTTTCCCCATCGAGGAAATGACTATGCTTCGCTTCAAACAAAACGTGACACTCGACATCGACGTAAAAAGACTAATCGAATCAGACGATCCGACGAGTTTTCATATTTTATTTTTTCTACGCCGTTGGAAGCCGTCTAAATCATATCTAAATTCATTATTTGTAATTTTTATTATCCATAGTTTCATTCTGTATTTTAAAACACACACAGTCAACTCCACAAATATTCGTACCTTCTATAGAACAAATGTATCTAAATCAAATGATAGGATTCGTGTTTCCGAATAAATTTCTCATTATAAATATATATGTATTTACAGAGTTTATTCATATACATATTTATAATGAAATATTCATTTGAAAACGTCAAACCTATCGTTCAGTTCAGACAACATTCTTGAATAAACATTCCTTATAAAACTTTATACAAGATCAACACCGAGAAACTTCAAAAAATATTCCATTATCCGAAAATTCCCTCATCTAACCACCCATGGCCATCGATTAATTCGAATAATCGATGCCCCATCGTGCTCCAACAAATAAAGATATTTACAGAAAATCGAGTGGTCCGATGTTTCCTTCGCCCGCCGCCGTAGATCACGTCCCACGGGTTCTCCATGAGCGTAGCTCGTCAAGGGACGGATTCGTTCCGTGAAAAATCAACGACGTGGACGCCGGGAAAGCCCGGTAGGAAAAAATCTCTAGGTGCTGGGACATTGTTCCAGCGACGAAGGAACCGCGCGGGCCGCTGATGTTCCATCAATGTTTATTATCGTTCTGTTTGTGCGCCTCGCAGCGCGAGAATGGCCAAACAGAAGGCTGCCGTGGAGACGACGCGCATTCACCCCGCGAGAGGTGGCGGAAAAGCGGAAGGAAACAGCCTGAGGACCACCCGTCGGGACTTCCTTGGCAAAGTAATACGGCGTTACTTTTAACAGGGATGCCCAGGTCGACGGTGTCCCGTGGCGAGGACAAAACAAACTCCCTAATGTCTTCATGCTACTCATCTCGGACCATCTACGAGGGCGAGACATAGAGAGAAAGAGATCGAGGGGAGAAACGAGAGGGAGCGAGAGAACTTAGCCAGTTGGTAGCTCCGAGGATTACCGCACAGAGCCACTTCTTCAAGGTCGCGACGAGATCGTCACGGTGTCGTCACAATATCGCTGATTGCCGAGCGTGAAGCGGAGAATTCGAGGGGGATGAAGACGTAATTGATTTACGGGAATGCCTCCGTTATTGGGAAAGGGATCCGTTTGTATGTTTGTTCTCGGCGTGTCGTTGGCGAACGAAGGTGTCCGCTCGGACGTCTCCCTTCCCGTTCCAGGAGAATTGAGACGCAGGATGCTACTGGAGGGTAAAGAGTCTCGGATCAGGTTGTTGATCATTGTTTCTTGAAATATCGTTTCATATAATATCAATTAATTCGTGTAGATTAATTATTGATCGTGTTATTGGTGACATGTTATTTGAAATATTATTAATAAATAGCTACTTTATTTCGTCATTATTTCCATGCCTATGGTCACCTTTGAAATAATTATTAAGTATGAAGTTGTTTATTGAAAATTATATGAAGATGAAATAGCAACGATGCACAAATTCAAGAAGAGATGAATGCGTTGATACTTTTGAGGATTAAAGAATTGACTCGTTTATGTTAAACAATTATCCGATTATAAAAGACGTTTTCCCATTGTTACAGTAGATGTAATGATTTCTTAAAATAAATTCTTTTTGTTGTATATTATTTCGACGATCATTTTTATCGTTAGATTTCAAATAGCCATTATTTCAAATAAATTGATGTTATAATGACGGGATATAATAACGAAACATAAAATTAAAATTATTATACGAATTGAAACATACAAAGTCAAGTTCAAAACGAAAATTCCAATGAATCTGTCAGTGGCACCGTGGTAGACAAAAATGGCTCCCATCACGTTTACTGACTATAGAAGGACGACTAAGGAATTCATACACAATTAGTCACAAATGAATGCATTCCTACTTCACTTACAACCGAAGAATTAAAAATTACCCAAATGTTGAATACAATACTCACGAAACAGCTTCCTCACTAACCGGTGACTCACTACCAGAAATTTATATTAAATTTATATTAATTCGAATTACATTAAGCTTTTGGAATAATCACTTTCAACAGTTCTGCCAGAACTTGAAGTAACCTATCGTCCTTTCTTTACGAGGAAGACGCGCAAGTGCCCAAAGTGCGCATCCTTCCTCGGATCTCAATAATTCGACGTCCGCAGGAGTTCTTGTTGCTACTGTTATTTCGACCGAGGGAAAAAAGCAGGGAACTCTTGACACGCGGTAACCGATCCCGATATAATATCGAGCGCAAAAAACAACAGGCCAGGGCTGACGTAAGTGTGAAACAACGAAGGCGATACGTATCTCGTCTCATGGGGAGCCATGAAAAGGGGGCGTCGTCAGGAACCCGCAAATAAATGCAAATTGCTTCAGAGCTCCGATCCGCCTACCTGACAACGAAGACAACAGCCCCGGAAGACCGTTACGCCGTAAATAATCCACCCCCTTCGAGCATCCAACCCCTTCCCCGTGTCCTTCTCGCGCTGGCTGCGTTCCTCGTTTCCCTCCATTCACCGTGGAGGGCTCGATGTGTAAATAAGGGATCGTAAATATCCACGGTGCCGTATAATGGCTCCCGCGTAAAGATGCGGTTCGATGCTGGACCGTAAATCATCCGTTTTCGTGGTTTTGACGAATCGACTGGCAGCAACGATCTGAGAAACTGCGGTTTCAGGACGCTCAGTGCTTGCGGTCGAGCCTCGCATTGTTCCTCGCACGAATCCGTTGTCTCCTTCCGACGGTTGTTTGGCCACAATCAGAGGCTCGAGTTGACCAATGAAAGCCTTCGTCGGGAATAAAAACGTGGCTCGATGAGGGAACCTCGAGAAATTATGGGAAATATAAATCACTGCGGGACAAAAGAGTAGAACAACCTACAACTTTGTTAATTTTTCTAAATATATCTGTTCGATATGAGTGTGAACGCAATATCTCTAACGTCTTCTTCTATGGGCTGTAGTCTACAGATGTTTAGTTTCAACTGTGTCACCGAGAATCTGTCTCGTTAAAAATGATATAAAAATTGCAATCACGCTAGCAAGATGTC